CTCACACTGTGTGCGGTTGTGTGTGTGTGTATGTGTGGGTGAATGAGGGTGGGTGTGTGTCTTTGTGTGCGTGTGGGTCCATGGGTGTGTGTGTGGAAGGGTTAAGTTTTTGTCTTTATTGTTGTTTTTAGCCTCTGTGAGACACTTTAAATTGCATTTCCTTTTGTACGAAAAGTGCCATATAAATAAAGTTGAATTGAATTGAATAGAATTGAATTGAATATGGGCATTCAGGGATTGCGTAGCTCTCCCGAGCGTCATCACAGTGACTCTCGGTGACTGCGCGGCTGAATGCGCGCATTGCTACTGCGCGGCGCTGATTTAAGGGAAATGAAGAAAAATCCTGGAAATACCGAGAGCTATTTGGCTTCAAATCCGTATACAGGTGGTAGGCGGAACTAAGTTGTCCATAGTATATACAGTCTATGGAAAGAAGTAGAGGCAGAGAAAAAAGAAAAAAAAATTGAAATGAGAATAGAACAGTGATATGCTGACAGAGAGAGTGTGTCACTATGCTAACCAAGACATGACAATCTCATAAAGCACCAAACCTGACAACACCCTTCTACTGAGTCAGTGGCCAGAAGTGGGAAGGACTAAAAAGATTGATTGTAATGCATGTTGTGCGAGAGGTTTCCTTCATCAGCTGTCCAGTCTGCTGCTTTCAGGAAATCAATGGGAAAAATCAAAATCAGAAATAATATATCTATATAAAGTAGTCTCGGTAATTCACTCACTGTCCAAGAGCACTAAGAAGTGATTTTAACAAATTATTCACTTTCAGTAACAGATTCTGATGCTTTGCGATATAATTGGCCAAACTAAAATATATTGCTAGATGCAGGACCATGAAATGGTTGTGAGCTTTGGGTGGTTATAAAGAGAACAAAGTCAAGAATATGAGTGGCAAGAGTTAGGTGCTTAGAGAAGAGCTACGACTTGCTGTCAAGGGGCCAGCTTGTCCAAGTCTTTCATGTCCTACTAAGAAGACAGACTCAGGATGGACTCAGAGCTCAGTGTGTAGGTTGAATACCCTCCATGCTCTGGGACACTCCAGAGTCCCAAAACTGAGCTGGTTCAGCTTGCTACTTCCAGAATACAACCCTGCCAATATATGAGTAAAATAGACCATTGGATGGGATCATCCAATAGAATAAAAAGAAATCTGAAAAATGTGACATGCCTTTGAGAGCATTATGAGCTACTTCCTGTCAGTTTTATGTGACGCTCCTCTGATGATTTCCCTGCAGCATGAGCTGCGGCAGACAGGCAGCCTCATCAGGTTGATGAACAGTAAAAGCTGAAGGTAGATTAGTTAGATGATGAGTACAGTCAGGCTTTTCAACTGTTACTGAGAGGTGGAGCTGTGGAAATAGACAATGATGTGCTGTGTTTTGTTTTCCGTCAGGAAGTTGTCAGCTGAAATAATTGGAGTGGTTAGAGAATAAAGATCAGGAATAACAGTCAGAGAGGTAAACTCGCTTGTTATGAGATCAGAGACACCATCGGGATCAACATCAAAGTATAAACAAGGTTCAGCTCACTCTGCTTTAACTTAGTGCAGCAATTACAGTTAACAGATTCCATGTCTTCTCAGTTCGTGGACTATCTGCTCAGCCTTCTCCTTAAATCAACCAATCAGCCATGGATAATGAAATTGTGCTGAAAGTACAATGAAGAATCATATTCATAAGAACCTCTTATAATAAACATTGATCCTACAAAGTCTTGTATGTGGGGAAGTCCCCTGTCCTAACACTCTTTTTTTATGAGCAGTGTGGTTTGAGCTGCTGTAATAATGCACAAAAGATAATACATTTTTCAGACCACGCTTTGCTGATCATTTACCATTGCTCACTTTGGCTAGTCCACGCAGTATCTGACTGTTTACAACTGCATTTATGGTCAAATCCACCAGTATGAATACATTATACACCAGTGCAACTAGAGATTAGTTAGAATACAACCATGAATCCAATAAGAGGCCGATAATGAGATGGATACAGATACTTTTTTAAATCAAAGTATGCATGTTATTATTTAGAAATAGAAGCTAAGACACTGTATGCACAGACAGAGACCCTGTCCCTCCCCTCCTGGATTCACTCAGTAAGCTGTGGCTTCATGTTAGTCAAATTGTTAGGTGTTGTGAATAGGTGGACCCAGAGCAGAGGCTGAATCAGATCAGGATTTCAACAAACAGTGATTTTTATTTACATGCGAGTAAAAAGTGAACAAAGCAATGATGGTGGTGGTGGCGGGAGCTCGTGGAGACCTGGAAAAAACGAGAAAGAGAGAAGGAGTTAGTCCAGGGGTAAAACGAGCATGAATCCACAACAGTCATCAAAAAATGAAGCACAAGATAATCTCCGTGAGGGGAGAAGAGGCTTAAGGCCAGCACAAACGTAGTGAACGAACCACTTAGTCAGGCAATCAGCCGGCACTGAGAAGATTCCTCCCTGGGCTCTTGTAGGCAGGTAATCAGACCGGAATTAGCAGCAGGTGAGGTCTCCAGCAGGTGATCAGCTCCCGCGGTGCCACCCATGCAGGAAGTGAAGAGAGGGATCCTGAGCAGCCTACAGCGCCGCTCAGGCGAAGTGGATAAAGGGGGGGAAGACAGCCCGAGAGGAGAGGGCAAAGAGGAGCAAAACTGGAGGACTGGGGACCAGTCCTCACAGTACCCCCCCCTCAACGGACGTCTCCCGACGTCCTACCCGGCTTGTCGGGGTGGTCATGGTAGAAGTCCCGGAGGAGGTTGCCATCAAGGATGAGACCGCGGGGGATCCATGACCTCTCCTCAGGTCCATATCCCTCCCAGTCGACCAGGTACTGGAATCCTCGCCCCCGCGGCCTGACGTCCAAAATCCGGGATACTGTAAACGCCGGATGGTCATCAATGAGTCGGGGGGGTGGAGGGGGCTCGGCCGGAGGGCAGAGCTCGCTGGTCTCCACTGGCTTGAGAAGAGAGACGTGGAATGTGGGATGGACCCTCAGGGAAGCTGGCAACCTGAGTCTCACGGCAGAGGGGTTAATAATCTTCTCCACCGGAAAAGGACCAATAAAACGAGGGGCCAACTTACTAGCCTCCACCTGGAGGGGCAGGTCCCGAGAAGATAACCACACCATCTGGCCAGGACGATACGAAGGAGCCGGTTGACGATGGAGATCAGCACTGCGTTTGTTTCTCTCAGTGGTAGCGGACAGAGCCTCTCGAGCCCTCCTCCATACCTCCTTCAGACGCTTAATGTGAGCCCCCACAGAAGGAACAGCGACCTCTCTCTCCTGTTCTGGAAACAACGGGGGTTGGTAACCAAAACAAACTTGGAACGGAGACATACCCGTAGACGAACAGGAGAGGCCGTTGTGGGCGTACTCCACCCAAGGAAGATGGTCGCTCCAGGTAACTGGGTGATGGGCTGCGACGCAGCGTAAAGCACTCTCGAGGTCCTGATTGGCCCGCTCAGTCTGGCCGTTGGTCTGCGGGTGGAAACCCGAGGAGAGGCTGACTGCTGCGCCCAATGCCTGGCAGAAATCCCTCCAAACACGAGAGGCGAACTGGGGCCCACGGTCTGAAACAATATCCTGAGGGATTCCATGCAGTTTGAACACGTGAGTGATTAAAAGGTTAGCTGTCTCCAGTGCGGTAGGCAATTTAGGGAGTGGTACATAATGGACCATTTTGGAGAAGCGATCCACTATGGTGAGGATGACAGTGTTACCTTGTGAGGGGGGCAAACCGGTGACAAAGTCCACAGCAATGTGAGACCAAGGGTGACTGGGCACCAGCAGGGGGCGCAGCAGACCAGCTGGTGGCTTGTGGGAGGCCTTTCCCCGGGCACAGACTGAGCAGGCAGCCACGAACTCCCGAGTGTCTCGAGCCATTGAGGGCCACCAAAACCTCTGCCGGAGGAAAGACAGGGTGCGATTAATACCGGGGTGACAGCTTAGTTTGGAGGAGTGTCCCCATTGGAGAACCTCCGACCGAACGGAGTCAGGAACAAACAGGAGATTGGGGGGACCAGTTCCGGGATCCGGATGACGTGTCTGGGCCTCCCTAACAACACGCTCCACGTCCCAATGAGCGGCACCGAGGATGCAGGAGGGAGGAAGGATGGAAGAAGGACCCTCAGGCTCCGATGGAGGGGAGAAGACCCGGGAGAGAGCATCAGGCTTGGTGTTCTTGGATCCGGGGCGATATGAAATGGAGAAGTTAAAACGACTCAGGAAAAGAGACCACCTGGCCTGCCTCGGGTTGAGCCGTTTTGCTGTCCGGAGATACGCCAGGTTCTTATGGTCCGTCCAGATCAAAAAAGGCTTCTCCACGCCCTCCAGCCAGTGTCTCCACTCTTGTAGAGCTCCCACCACCGCTAAGAGTTCTCGGTTTCCCACGTCGTAATTTCGCTCTGCGGGAGAAAGGCGACGAGAAAAAAAAGCACAAGGGTGCAGCTTGTTGGTAGTTGGGTCTCGCTGGGAGAGGATAGCACCGACGCCGGAGTCAGAGGCGTCCACCTCCACCACGAACTGTAGAGAGGGATCAGGGTGCAGGAGTACAGGGGCAGAGGTGAACAATGTCTTGAGGTCCTGGAAGGCGCTGTCAGCCTCGTCTGACCAACAGAAGGGGACCTTGACAGAGGTGAGCTGAGTGAGAGGTTTAGCTACGCTACTGTAGTTACGAATAAATCTACGGTAGAAGTTAGCAAAACCTAAAAACCGCTGTAACTCTTTACGGGTGGTAGGGGTGGGCCAACTGATCACAGCTTGGATCTTGCAAGGGTCGGGGCGTAACTGACCAGCCTCTATGATATAACCTAAAAAACTGACTCTGGACGCATGAAACTCGCATTTCTCAGGCTTTACATAGAGACGGTTTTCTAAGAGACGCTGGAGAATGAGACGGAGGTGCTGACGATGCTCATCTTGATTCTTGGAGAATATCAAGATGTCATCGAGGTAAATGAAAACAAACTTATTCAGCACGTCCCGGAAAATGTCATTCATAAATGACTGAAAAACTGCCGGAGCATTGGTGAGACCAAAAGGCATCACCAAATACTCAAAATGTCCCATGGGTGTGTTAAAGGCAGTTTTCCATTCATCTCCCTCTCTGATCCGGATGAGATGATACGCGTTTCTAAGATCAAGTTTGGAGAAGATCTTGGCATGACACAGGGGCTCAAATGAGGGATCGATAAGAGGAATGGGAGACTTATCTTTAATGGTTATGTCGTTAAGACCACGGAAATCGATGCACGGCCGAAGTGAAGAATCCCTCTTACCCACAAAGAAAAAACCCGCCCCTACGGGAGACGAAGAAGGCCGAATTAACCCGGAAGCCAACGACTCGGAAATGTAAGTCTGCATGGAATCCTTCTCTGAACGAGACAGGTTGTAAAGTCGGCCAGAAGGTAAGGGGGCGCCAGGGAGCAGGTTAATCGCGCAGTCGTAAGGACGGTGCAGAGGCAGTGTCTTAGCCAGATCTTTACTAAATACCTGTGCTAAGTCATGATAGCAAGAGGGTACCGAAGAAAGATCAGGAGGTGCCGGTGTAACCGAAGGAGGGTTAACGACTGCCGACTGCAAACAAAAAGAGTGACAATGAGTGCTCCAACTGACAATAGAGGACGTGACCCGGTTAATGTGAGGACTATGCAGTTTAAACCAAGGCAGCCCGAGAATAACTGGGGAACAGGGAGACGAAATGACAAAAAAACTTAATTTTCTCGGAATGATTACCGGAAAGTAGTAAGGTGAGGTGAACTGTCTCAAATTTAACCTCCGAAATGACTCGACCGTCCAATGCCAGAACCTGTTTAGCCTGAGAAAGCGAGTTGGTGGGAATATTGTGAGCTTTAACAAAGGCCTCATCAATAAAATTATCATCCGCGCCAGAGTCAAGAAAAACTGAAGTCTTAATAACGGAGGAGGGAAAACTAAGAGAGGCAGGAAACGTGGACCTGGAAGAAGGGCTTCTGGGGGTTGATAGCCGACTCACCATTACGCCCTTGCTTAATGATGAGTCCTGTCTTTTAACAGAAGGGGGCAGGACTGAAGGGAATGCTCCGCTCCTCCACAGTAAAGGCAGAGATTCTCCACTCTCTGTCTTCTTCTCTCCCTTAGACTCAGCCGAGTCTTGCCCAGCTGCATGGGCTCCTCCGAGTCAGCAGGGGGAGCAGTAGCAGGTGGCGTAGGTGCAGGTGGAGTAAGTTGGCCTAGAGTAGGGCGAGCAGTGGAAACCACATGACCAGAAGGGGGAGTCTGACGGGGAGCACTAGCAGCCCTCTCCCTGTCTCTCTCTCTCAATCTACCGTCTATTTTAATCGCTAGATCAAACAGTTCCTGTAGTGAGTCTGGCTCATCCCTAGTTGCCAATTCATCCTTCAATTCCTCCGAAAGCCCCTTGACAAATAACGCCTTTAATGCAGCCTCGTCCCAACCACACCTCCCAGCCAAAATTTGGAAATCGACCGCAAAGCTAGCCACCGATTGACCCCCCTGAGATAATGCCAGGAGCTGTTTAGCAGCATCTTGGCCCAGAACCGGGTGATCAAAAACCCTACGTAGTTGGGCAGAAAATGTCTCAAATGAATTAAGAACACTGGATCCCCCCTCCCATAAGGCTGTGGCCCACTTTGCGGCTTTACCCCTAAGGAGATTAATGGTATAAGCAATTTTGGCCTCATCGGAGGCATAACTGTAGGGCTGGAGCTTAAACACAAGGCTACAATTAAACAAAAAACGGCTACAGGACCCAAAATCACCCGAAAATGGCTCAGGGTGTGAAACAAACGGTTCTTTAAAATGAACCGAGTCTGGAGGGAGAGCGGCAGGGGGAGAAGCCGGCGCGGCACTCACCGCAGTAGCAGGGGGGCCTCTGGCCTCAATCAGCTGAGCGCTAATCTGTTGCATTTGGCGAGTCATCTCCTCCAAAGTTCCAGTCACTCCCTTGAGAAGCGAATCATGTTGTCCCAAAAGTGTTCCATGTGACACCAGAGCGTCCTTGATTTGATCCAACCTCGCGGACTCCATAACGAGGCCGGCTGATTCTGTTAGGTGTTGTGAATAGGTGGACCCAGAGCAGAGGCTGAATCAGATCAGGATTTCAACAAACAGTGATTTTTATTTACATGTGAGTAAAAAGTGAACAAAGCAATGATGGTGGTGGTGGGAGCTCGTGGAGACCTGGAAAAAACGAGAAAGAGAGAAGGAGTTAGTCCAGGGGTAAAACGAGCATGAATCCACAACAGTCATCAAAAAATGAAGCACAAGATAATCTCCGTGAGGGGAGAAGAGGCTTAAGGCCAGCACAAACGTAGTGAACGAACCACTTAGTCAGGCAATCAGCCGGCACTGAGAAGATTCCTCCCTGGGCTCTTGTAGGCAGGTAATCAGACCGGAATTAGCAGCAGGTGAGGTCTCCAGCAGGTGATCAGCTCCCGCGGTGCCACCCATGCAGGAAGTGAAGAGAGGGATCCTGAGCAGCCTACAGCGCCGCTCAGGCGAAGTGGATAAAGGGGGGAAGACAGCCCGAGAGGAGAGGGCAAAGAGGAGCAAAACTGGAGGCCTGGGGACCAGTCCTCACACAAATCTCAGCAACACACCTCAGAATAAAGCTGAGTCAAATTTTAAAAGAGCCCTTTCCAAAAGTTACTACATTCAGTCCACACAGTTTTAGTAAATGGCAAGTTACTGTGGACTCCACCAGCGAACTCACAGGCGGTGGGCTGCACACCAGTGGTGAAGCTGTCTGTCTGTGTCTTGCATTGGGGGAGGAGGCATTAACAGTTTAGCAGGTAGATTTCTTATAACTCCCTGCAAGTTGTATTAAAACCATCAGTTCCTAACTACATCTGTTAATTTCCTCCAACCAAGATTCCCTAGTCCCTATTTTAATCCTGGTCTTTATCATCCAGGGAAAAAAGTTCTACATTGAGGAGAAGAAACAAAGGAAAGCATGAGCTGCTTTGCACTAGTCCCCTAAGTTTCCCAGTTTGAATCTGTCGGCTTAAAACTGAGTTAAAAACAGCAAAGAGATCAAAAAAGTTCATGCATTACAGCTTCTGATTAGTCATAAAGAGGGTTGGTGTTAGAGTTCAGACAGTTCAAACATCTTCAGTTAAAAACAAGCAAAAGAGAGACAAATTAACTTACAGTTTAAGGAAGTAGAAACAAGTTTTATGTTTATTTCAAATGCCATTAGTGAGTCATTCTGACCAACAACCGGGTTGTCAGAAATAACATGATATCCTTTAATCATCAGGTCAGTTTTAGTTTTTAAAGCTCTTCTAATTTTTTAAGGATTATTGTTGCATGGAAGAAGAAAAAAAGAAAACAATTCTACAGTCGGCTGCACCCACCATTTTTTGGTTGATATAGATACAGATATACAGGTACTGGTCATATAATTAGAATATCATGGAAAAGTTGATTTATTTCAGTAATTCCATTCAAAAAGTGAAACTTGTATAATGTATACATTCATTTCTCACAGAATGACATATTTCAAGTGTTTATTTATTTTAATTTTGATGATTATAACTAACAAATAATGAAAATCCCAAATTCAGTATTTTAGGAAATTAGAATATTATTTGAGACTGATACAAAAAAAAAGATTTCTAGAAATGTTGGCCAACTAAAAAGTATGAACAGAAAAGTATGACCATGTACAACACTCAATACTTAGTTGTGGCTCCTTTTGCTTGAATTACTGCAGCAATGCGGCGTGGCATGGAGTCAATCAGTCTGTGGCACTGCTCAGGTGTTATGAGAGCCCAGGTTGCTTTGATAGTGGCCTTCAGCTCTTCTGCATTGTTGAGTCTGGCGTCTCGCATCTTCCTCTTCACAATACCCCATAGGTTTTCTATGGGGTTAAGGTCTGGAGAGTTTGCTGGCCAATCCAGAACAGGGATACCATGGTCCTTAAACCAGGTACTGGTAGCTTTGGCACTGTGTGCAGGTGCCAAGTCCTGTTGGAAAATGAAATCTACATCTCCGTAAAGTTGGTCAGCAGCAGGAAGCATGAAGTGGTTTAAAACTTCCTGGTAGACGGCTGCATTGACCTTGGACCTAAGGAAACACAGTGGACCAACATCAGGAGATGACATGGCACCCCAAACCATCACTGACTGTGGAAACTTGACACTTGACTTCAAGCAACGTGGATTCTGTGCCTCTCCTCTCTTCCTCCAGATTCTGGGCCCTTTATGACCAAAGGACATGCAAAATTTACTTTCATCAGAGAACATAACTTTGGACCACTCAGCAGCAGTCCAGTCCTTTTTGTCTTTAGCCCAGGCGAGATGCTTCTGACGCTGTCTCTTGTCCAAGAGAGGCTTGACACAAGGAATGCGATAGCTGAAACCCATGCCTTGCATACGTCTGTGCGTGGTGGTTCTTGAAGCACTGACTCCAGCTGCAGTCCACTCTTTGTGAATCTCCCCCACATTTTTGAATGGGTTTTGGTTCACAATCCTCCTCAGGGTGCGGTTATCCCTATTGCTTGTGCACTTTTTCCTGCCACATCTTTTCCTTCCCTTCACCTCTCTTTTAATGTGCTTGGACACAGAGTTCTGAGAACAGCCAGCCTCTTTAGCATTGACCTTTTGTGTCCTGCCCTCCTTGTGCAAGGTGTTAATGGTCGTCTTTTGGACAACTGTCAGGTCAGCAGTCTTCCGCATGATTGTGTGGCCTACAGAACTAGACTGAGACCATTTAAAGGCCTTTGCAGGTGTTTGGAGTTAATGTTAATAAGTTTGGAGCTGATTAGAGTGTGGCACCAGGTGTCTTAAATATTGAACCTTTCCACAATATTCTAATTTTCTGAGATACTCATTGGGGGTTTTCATTGGCTGTCAGTTAAAATCATCAATATTAAAATAAAATAAACACTTGAAATATGTCAGTCTGTGTGAAATGAATGTATACATTATACAAGTTTAACTTTTTGAATGGAATTACTGAAATAAATCCATGATATTCTAATTATATGACCAGTACCTGTAGATACTTTGATTGTAAAGACTCTTTAATATGACACAACAAGAGGAGTCAAATAGGGAGACATGAGATTGGTCACTGGATCTGTCCCAGTGGTAGTGCTTGTGCAATCTAAAAGCTAATGTCCTGCAAGGTCCCTCAGTACTTACAACTTCAAACTCTACCTGTACTGAGCTCAGATGCTATACAGTAGCTAAACATACAGCAGAGGGGGAGTTAGGGTTATAGGAACACCTTATATTGCTGTCCAATAAAAAAAAAACACGTGTCTTCAAGATGTGTTCTTTTCAGGAACATTAAAAAACAATTTTATTCATAAACCACCTTACAGAATAAACCCCAAACACTGTAATTAGACAGTAGAACCCAAAATCAAAACCTATATTTACACAGTCACCAGTGACCTGTTTGGTATTTTAAACAGACTAACATGATTTGCGCTGTTAGAGTTTTTTCTTAATAAGGCTTCAATGACATTCAGTTATTTACAAGCTTCGAGTATCCTGTTTATGTCCCACTATGTTGCTAAAGCATTGATAGTGGGCTATCCTACATTTCCACACAGCACATTGTTTGTCAACATTTTTGAGTTGCTACTCCCAATTTAACATGCCCTAGTGTCCGCGACCCATGCAGGTATACTGAAAAAACAACTGAAAAATGTATGATGAGTTCTTATGCTACTAAATAAATTGGTTTTCAATAAAATTCTGGCTCAGATTTCACTTGAATACCATAGGGGATATTACAAGATAGCGGAAACACAACTAAGTGATACGATAATCAGATAGTGTGAGAAAGAAACAGCAGCAGCTTTGCCTCTGGCGATGAACTTAGGCTCAACAAATCTAACGTACTGGTAAGCAACACTGTCATGGTTAGAAAGAAGTTTTAGGTTGGCATCAGTCGATGCGAGGACATTAGTATAGCATCAAATGTAGTGGACATCGAAGTGGTGAAATCATATAAATATCTAGGTGTACATCTGGATAATAAGTTAGACTGGTCTAAGAATATAGACTTCATCTACAGAAAGGGGCAGAGCTGCCTCTTTTGCCTGAGAAGACTCTGATCAATAGATATCTGTAGTAAGATGATGCAGATGTTTTATCAGTCTGCGGTGGCAAGTGTTCTGTTCTACGCTGCAGTCTGCTGGGGAGGAAGCATCAAACACAAAGATGCAAGACGTCTTAACAAACTGGTGGAAAAAGGCTGGCTCTGTGGTTGGACTCAAGCTGGACTCAGTGGAGGATGTGGTGGAGAGATCTACACTGAGGAAGGTGGAGAGTATTTTAAAGAACATGGATCACCCACTTCACAACATCTTGATGGACCAAAGGGCCAATGGTGGTGGACTGTTCCTCTCTCTTCACTGCAGGACAGAAAGATTTAGAAGATCTTTTGTACCAACAGCCATTAGACTTTATAACTCTTGTGTAAATAATAGATAACTTTAGGAGACACATGATGTGAGACAATAGACAATTGAATTTCCCTTCAGGGATTAATAAAGTTCTTCTTTTCTTATCTTATCTTATATTATCCTGGACTGTAATGAGTCTGTCACAGTGTAAAGTCTTTTTGCTGACATGAAAACTCAGGGCCAGGGCGGTAGATACGTGCTTTGTTAACACTTCCGACACCCAATGGAAATACTTGTTGAAAAGATGATGTTATAAAATGTCTTCCCATCAGTCATTTGGATACCCAAAGCTACAGGTTGTTAGGGAAGATTATGGACCATGCATGTTGTTATGTACCAAAAGATGTAAAAGCGGATAAAGATAGTAACAATAGTTTTAAAAAGAACCAAGGTTAAGTAATGGTATCCGGTGTAATTAATCAAACAGAAAAGTTTATTCTTGAGGTTAACAACCAACTTAAAACAAGCACTAGGCCGAGAAAAACACCAATACAACACAAATGGTAAGCTAAGGTAACAATGGAAAACAGCAAATGCACTGCAGGCTTCACTGCCACTAGAGGCCTGCTCAGTCCAGCCACTATCCCTGAGTCACATACTCGTTTAACCAGGTCAACACAGGATCGCTGCCAGAGGAGGGAATGAGAGAGAGAGAGACCACAGCACTCTCTTCCTTTATATAGTCTGCTGCTCATCAGCAGATCAGCCACATCTGCCACACCTCTACTGCAGTGGAGAAATCTGCAGTGAGAGAGAAACAGGGGAAAAACAGCACGCAAGCAGAGAAAACAGCACACAAACACCCAGGGCATGTAACACATGTATTGAAAATAGTCCAGATACGTTTTTTCATCGGACAGCGACAATAGGGAAGTCATGCCTAAAGTGGATGGTCCTGGTTTGATTACTGTAAGTGGCACCCTTCCTGGGGGGTATTTCATGAAGCTGGCTAAAGAAGGCTGGGCTATCGCCGGTAAGCGTGGCTTGAATAAGCTGCCACTTTAATCTTAGCTGCGACTCGTTCCACTAACGAGGCTTGGCTGTTTTTCAGAGACGCTTATTCTAGCCAGGCTTATCCAAGCCGCGGCTATACGCACCTCCGTGGTACATTAAAAGCCCCGACGTATCGATTGCCAAAATGACGAGATCATGGAAAAAAGGGCAGAGCGGAGTCTTTCTCAGCGAACACTCCTCATGGAGTTGTACGAAGAGTACAAGGGAAAAATTCAAAAGAAGGGCAACACTGTTGCCATTGTGAAAGCCAGGGAGATGGCGTGGTTAAGTATCGCGGACCGTTTAAATTTTGTAAGTTATAGCCGAAAAATATTTTACAACCGACGCGTGTCTTGATGCAGTCTAATTTTATGTACTGTAAACACTTTTTTTAAACTTTTCATCTCGTGTATGTGCAGCTCACTCAAACAGTCCGTCAGCCTCTGTGCAGCAC